GAAAATCCATTCAGTTCGATATCCTCTGTCAGTGGAACGTCCAAAGGAGCTCCATGTTCGTGAGGAAATAGTCGTTCCATTGTATTGAGAAATTTTGCAAACTGCTCCCAAAATCTCGCAAAATTTACGAATTCGTCTTTAAGAAAGGGATCATTCGAAATCTGCGTTGAAATTCTGGTAAGATAGTCGAGACTTGAATAAATCCATTTCACACTGACTCGAATAGACATCAGGCTTCTTTTGATTGGAGCTGGGAGAATTTGCACCGCATTGCGGTTTTGTTCCAACCCTCCGTTTACAACGTCGGTCAACTCAAAATTACACATTTCCAACAAAGTCGAAAGGGTGTCTAAAATTAGCATGACAGCATGCTTTTCAACGAGGAACTTTTTTGAAGACTGCGAATGAGCACTATTCGTAGCCTTCAGACCATGATCAGAATGAGCATTTTCTCCTGATGCGAAAAATCAGAAGTAAAAAAAAATTTTTTAGGATTTTTAAGGAAATAGTGAAAGACGAGAAGACAACCAACTCACCATTGGAAGTGCGTCGAATCACATATAAGGCAGCCATATTAATAACAGTGAACTTTAAGAGTTGGTCAGAATCCAACGCGCGCGCTTGAGTGAGCTCTCTCAATTTATTCAACTCTGAATTTTTCAACTCTGAATAAAATTCTATGCTGTATGTAAATAATCATCGTATATGTTATTTTGTTATTCACATGTTCAACATTTTCCGTTAATGATAAGAATTTAAAGATAGTGAACTAGACGTGAGTCACAATAACTAACCCTTCTCTCAAATACAAAATACTATGCAGCCGAATGAAATCCGCGAAAAATGACTGTGTAGCATCACCAGTTCGCGATTTATTAGTTTGACGTTGATGAGAGAATCGACGTCTGTTCCCGATTTCCCGAGAGTTTTCTTGAACTCTTTCCGAAGTTTCGGTAGAAGATTTCATGACCTTTTGAAACAAAAGGCTAATGTTGTCCTTGGCCGTTAGGAAGGGATACCTCAGGACAAGGCTCCGATAATAATGATAGACGGCTGAAAGATCATCGGCGTTGTAAGTTGCGATAACCGCCAGTTGATTGTGAGGATTTCCTGAGAATGTCGAAAAAAAAAAGGCAAGTTAGAATTAGCTATTATCAACTCGATAAACAAGATAATTATCCGCCGTAGGTGTTCATAAGGAAGACATTCGCATGCGACATATAATTACCACTCTCAGGAACCAATTGCCTCGCATTGTTATAATAATCGCAGGCGGTAGACCAATTTTTGCGTAGTTTGTCATTTTGCAACTCGCGATAACGAGCTAAATAAATGCAAACAATTGTTATCGATCATATCCAAAACATAATTATTGACCAGCGAATTTAAAGGCATAACTACCTAAGTCACCAAGAAATATCAAAATTTTATGACAACTAAGCACAACTTTCTGCTTGATGTCATCATCATAAGGGCAGTGGGAAGTATCAGTGGATTCTAAATGGAAGGTTTTTTATTACAAGAAAAAATATTTGATGATACCGCGCTTAGCAGTTGAAGTCAGCAACAAATTATAAAGTTAAATTACCCAAGGTCGATCCAAATTTTTGGATGATCGGATCCAGCTGTTTCAACCCGAAATGAACGGCAAGTTTCTTGACGAAATCATGGTAAAAACCTGTCGCCTCCTGTAGGAATGAACGAAATGCACTGGATAACTTTCGTGGAGCGCCCTTAGATTTTTCACCGCTATTTAAAGACTAGCAGGAAAAGAAAAAGAATAAAGCTTAAGTGACCAGTTACGTTAGCAAATTGTCAATCAAAAATACAAGACTTACAGCGCGTATTTTCTTTCTATATTCTTCAATAAACTTATAATATACATATTTCCACAAATTTTGCTCGACTTCCTTCGATTGCGACAATTCATAATCAAGAAGCACGATTCTTTCGTAGTGATCACGTAAACTGACACAAGTCAAATGTAATAATATTAAAGCAAATTTTATAATACTTTATGTATATTTTATTTCAAAGCGTAAAATTGCTACTTTACCTAATGCGTAGAGCTGTCACTTGTTTATCGTATGGTGGTTTGTGTTTGGAAACTTGGCGCAACCTTTCCTCAAGCTCCACCGAAGATCTAAGGTATAATGGAATATTAAGGTCAGGAGACGCAGAGGAGAGTGACAAATAGCTATTACGTTCCTGAAGAAAATACTTCACATACTTATAAAGATCCAAGGCAGTTTGGCGATCCGTTGAAGGCATCGTCAATCAAGAAGTGTTTGTAAAGGTAGAGAACTGAACTGATGGCACCAGCATGAAATACATACGAAAACAATATATATATTAAGCCTCGTTTTCGCCACAATATATTTGAATAAATGTTATAATTGTATGATGTCAAATTCCGCATACGTAGTTTATATTTGATATTATCTAAACCACCAAAATTTTCCGGAATGTCCCGGCAGATAAGCTCTCATTCTATATTTGGACAAGCAAAAAACAATGACAAATTTCAAGTTTTCACGTGATTTGTTATATTACATTTACAATTTTAAAAAAAAGCCAAACCACCCATTCTCTTTAAATCATATTTATTCATCTTCAATATAACAAGTTTCAAAGATTTTCTAGATTATATTACAGTAATATCTCTGATTTATAAGGAGGAAAATGAAGAGAATGGCTTGGTGTATCATATGAATACAGCTCATTTGAGCAAATCCAACTTATTGCAACGGGAGGATTTGGTAAGGTTGAAAAAGCATATTCGAAAACCGCAAGAAAAATGGTATTACCAAAAGCTTGCATAAGCAAGAGTGGCAATTTATAAATTTTTTGTGAGAGGATAATTATTTTAAATAACGAGAAAAAAAAAAAAAAAAGAAAAGAAAAGAAAAAGTAATGGTTAATAATAAACTCAATGAACTTTCTCTATTACTTTCCCTTGTTAAAAATAGCCAACAAACTTGCCCAAACTACGTTGGTATTTTGAGAAGCGTCAACGGGAGCCCAGATGCCCTTTTGTTTATAATATTCTACCACAGGAGTGGTTTGCTTGTGATAAGTGGCCAACCGTTTTTTTAAAGTTTCTTCATTATCATCCGAACGCTGAATCAACGGTTCACCAGTGACATCGTCTTTTCCCGGAATTTTTGGCGGACTAAATAATAAAACTTCCCTTAGTTTAAGTTTCTCTTTTAATTTCATTAGCGACAATCCATTACCTGAAAATTCTGTGATATGTTCTACCACTGGCTGGATGAATCAAACGGCCGGTGATGCGCGAGACCAATAAATTATCATCAATAACCATTTCAACAGCATGATCAAGTTTTTTACCATCTTCCTTCAACATGGCATCAAGCTTTTGCGCCTGAGGTACTGTACGAGGGAACCCATCCAAAATGAAACTGTAAAAAAAAAATTAAAAATAAAAAATTTAATTTCATCATTCGTCAACAAAAAAAAAAAAAACTTTTTAAAAATAAATGGATCAGCATACCCATTTTTGCATTTCGAATTATTGCGTAATTCATCTTGAATCATTCCAACCATGATTTCATCGGAAACCAACCCTCCGGAATCCATGACTTTTTTGGCTTCCAAACCGAGTTTAGTCTTCGAAGCGACCTGGGAACGTAACATATCTCCAGTAGCCAAATGGCAAACGCAATATTTGTCTTTGATTTTTTGTGATTGAGTTCCCTTTCCTAAATGAAATAATTTAGAATTTGGATTAGTTGTGTGATAACATTGAATAAAGAACCACTCGGGATTCACCATCCCTACCAGCGCCGGGTGGTCCCATAATCACCATCCTCAACCCAGATTTCCGTTCTTTTGGTCTAGCGGAGTTCCCTTTAATATCAACTTCAATTTTTTCAATGCGTTCCTGAATAACCTTCAAGAGATACACTATATGAGACAACTCTTCTTTAACTTCGACGTTATTATCGGTAGAAGTACTGGTGGGAGATTTTACTGCCATTTCTTTAAGCTGAAAAGGATGAAAGAACGATTTTAGGTAGAGGATGGATCCAAAAGATGTTTGTTAAGCGAAAATTGTTTACGGGCTCCGCCCTTTTTTGCTGTATAGTGAAGAACGAAAATTTATATTTATGAAAACGCGGTGATAGATAAAAAAAAATAGATATTGCACGTGCTTAACATGAGAAAGCGTGTCATTCAGATGTTAATCGAATAGCTACGTACTTTTTTTTTTTTAGGCATCAATCACTAGATAATATCGATCAGATGCAATAAAATCGATAATCAGTAAGTCTAAGCGAAAAAACGAGTCTGCGAACACGAGATGGTTATCACGTGATAAACTTTTTTTAACCCGCAATCATTTTTTTGATTTTATAATTAAGGATTTTCTAAAATTAATAAAGTTAAAATTTATAATAAAATATATGTTTTTTTATATAATTTAATTTATTTTATATTCAAATTATAAAAAATATATAGCTTTTAAAGAAACAATTTTCAAAAAAAAATAATAATAATAATTAAGAAAAAATTCACCTAAAATTTAAAGTTTAAATTTTTTTTTTTTTTTTTTTTTTTTTTTTTTTTTTTTTTTTTTTTAATCCACAGTCAGGTCAATATGGCTTGTCTATTTTATTGTAAACATATTTGATATTTTATGACTTTACATATTGACTCACCTATCTACAAAGTTTAATCTTTTCTAGATGCAATTTAAGGGATATCACTCCTTTTATAATTTGAATTATTCTCTAGCTCCTCAGATTATTGCCTACAGCTCATCACTATAGATCTTCCGAAGTTCTAATTGATTAAAAACCAGACTTATATTTAAGCACAATATGCTCAATATGCAATTTACAAGAGAAAACTCTGAAACATCTTTTTGAATGTCCCAAGATCCAA